TTTAGAATTGGATTGTTCCATTTGGTTGCATGACCATTTTGCAACATTTCAACTAGTCAGATACGCACTCGCATTGCTGTTCTCTTCATCATCTGAATCGAGGAGGTTTGCATTCCCTGTGTCTGTGTCAGTCAATTCTTGCTCCACTTCACTGACACAGGAACTTAGGCTCACACAGCCAACATCAAAGTCATCATCGTCATCATCATCATCAACACCACTCTTCTGTTATGAAAACATGTATTTACCATAATGGACCATCTTCATCATCCATGCATGAGTAATCTTATGATTCACTTTTGACCCCCTCCAAAACTTGCAAATCTGGTTTTTCCTGTGCCATTGTACTGAATTGGGCTACTTCTACCAGAAAAATCCAAAGAAAACTTTTTTAAAAAAAACAAATCAGGCCGGGGATTTAGCTCAGTGGTTCTGCTGCCTGGCCCGCAAGCACAAGGACCCAAGTTCAATCCCTGGTACCAAAAAAAAACAAAACAAATCCTACGCGTGTGGGTGTATTATCCCCTCTGTGATGCTCAGGTAAACATACACAAAACTTTTAGAGCATCATATGGGTGAAAACCCCAGTTTGCCACTTTTGAACACATGCATACACCTTGCTGTTTGTCATACCAAGTGGGTAAATAAAGAATGCTTCCTCAAAAGACCTCTACACTGAAAACTACAGCACTCTGAAAAAAGAGATCGAAGAGGATACAAGAAAATGGAAAGACATCCCTTGTTCCTGGGCAGGAAGAACCAATACAGTGAAAATGGCCATACTTCCAAAACTACTATATAGATTCAATGCAATGCCAATTGAAATTCCAACAATACACTTCACGGAACTAGAGAAAGCAATCCAAAAATTCATTTGGAACCATAATAGACCTAGAATAGCTAAAGCAATTCTAAGCAACAGAGACATGGCTGGGGGAATCACAATCCCCAACTTGAAACTCTACTACAAAGCTACTGCGATAAAATCTACCGCATGGTACTGGCAAAGAAACAGACCCGAGGATCAGTGGAATAGATTAGAAGATGCAGAAACAACTCCAGACATATTCAGCCACCTCATCTTTGACAAAGGCGCCAAACACCCTCACTGGAGGAAAGATAACCTCTTGAATAAATGGTGCTGGAAAAACTGGATTTCAACCTGCCACAGATTAAAATTAGACCCATACCTATCA